GCTGGTGTGTGTGCATCAGAACAGAATTTCATTGTATTTTTTTTTTAGCTGGATATGGTTTAGTCAAAATAATAGTGGAGTAGTTAAGCAAATGCTCTCAGTTCAATGTCAGAAGGGACCCTTCTTGCTTCCAGCCTGGTCTTTAAAAACTGTTAAAATGTGCAGCAGGCTGATGTTACTCATTTCTAATTAGAGCCTTGTTGTATTTATGAGGACTGATTTTATTATCTGCAGTTGAAGGAAGGAAAACCCTCAAATGTTAATGCCTCTGAGAGTTGGGTGTGTGAGCTCCACTGCTGCCGTGCCAGGTGGAGGGCTGAATCCAGCAGCCTTTCCTCTGGCCAAACTTCCATTAATCTTAGCAGAAAGGTGAAAAGCATCTATTCTGCACATCCAGCTGGAAGTTCCCCCCCCCCCAAGATGGATGTTTTGTTGGGGGGGGGAACCAAACCCAAACAGTACCTGCCAGTTGTGTGATGCTCTGAAGTAGAAGTGTGCCGCTTTCCGTGGGTCTGTAGCTGGGGAACCGGGGTGCTGCCGTACGCTGGCCTCAGCTCGGGGGGGATGCACCGGGTGTTTGCTGCCACTAGACAGCGGAAGTGGAAACTTCTACTTCTTGCCATGAAGATAGTTTTGACTTGAATGTGTGTTTTGTGTGAGTAAGGATTTGTTTTTTGCAGTCTGTCAGTCAGGTGTTTTATGATGTTTTATGGTAACGGGCGACTGATAGGTAAGAGAAGGAATGGTCATACTTCTCAAAAGCTTACAAAAGCATTAAACAGTTGTTAATTATGTTCCTTCTGAACGACAAACTGATAATATATAAATATTTGGAATAAGGAGTTTATTGTAGCTGTACAACATAATTTATTAAGTTTCTTATTAAACCAGGCATAACAAATCACCTAACTGGGTTACAAGTCAGTAATGCAGTGTGGAGGGGTGAAAGAATTTTCTTTTCACGTACTTCAAAAAGTATCTTGAAAGTAAGGCATGCAGGAAGAGTTGTGGAGGGTGCAACACCCACATATGGATGCTATACTTGATGTTATGGTGAGGGAGCTGAAGAGCAGCTGGGTGCCACTGGAGGCTGCTGCCTCCTGCTCTGGTGTGAGATCACATTGTGCTGTGTTGGATTTTGCTCATTTTCTGAATGATGGGTTTCTGAGCTGTGGGTGATGGGGGGCCCTGGGTTCATCAGACTGTATGCCTTGCTGCAGCAGCTGCTTTTCCAGCAGAGAGGAAAGGAAACTAGTGGGCCAGCTAGAAATGTCCCAGGGGCCAGATCCAGTCAGCATATCCTGCCAGTGCAGGTAAACATGAAGGTTTAGTAGGATGTCATTGTCTTGGCTGGTTTAAAAGCCTGTGTTTTGCAGGAAACTTAAGAGGATTGTGGGTTGAGAGTTTGTTAAATCTCTGGTGGTGGCAGGAGTTTGGGGGTAGTTGTTTTAAAAAGAAATAAAAACCAGCAAATGCAGCGTGGGTTGCTGAAGTTGTAAAGCAGAGTGTGTTATTAGCCGCAGGAGGGTTAAACAGTTGAAAAATTTTGACTGTTTCACTCATAAATGATAATTAACGTGTCTTTTTGTTACTGACTGCTGCTTTTGTTAATTTCTGCTGCTAGCTCGGACTTTTCTGTTACTGTCAATGACGTGTGGCCATCTGAACACGGCCACACCTTGTTCAACAGTCAGTGCCACCCATGGGGCCCAGAAACCTGCAAGAGCAGGGTAGAAATGATCAGCTAACGAGAAAAAAGCTCTGCAGAAAAGTTCCTCCATTGGCAGAAAATCCCTTTTAGGAGGTTTCTTCCCTTCCCTGCTGCGTGTCAGAAACCTCTGATAGAAGGGGATTGGAAACTGGATGATGGATTTTAAGTTGTAAACCTTCCACCCACCCCATCAGTTACCGGTTGCAGTTACAGGGTAAAATGAATGAAGTTAGTTACACCTAGTAAAAATTTTGGTTGTGTGAATTACTTAAATCTTTTAAAATAGAGAAATAATTTCTTGCAGAGTTCATAGGCTTCTTTTTCAGGCTTGGTTGGTTACTCTGGTTTGTTGTCCCCATGATGGATGCTGCCATCTGGATCACTCTGGGGTGCACCTGTTAGAGTAATACAATATGTCCAGTTCAGATTAAGGGCCACTGCAACATTCAAAACAAAAATACTGAAATAATTAGAAATTGGTCTTTAATAGTATTTTTACAACAAAGATGAAAAGGAGGATGGACTCGGAGAGTTGAAATGTAAAGCAAAATAAAAAGGGAAGGTGCTTAGAGGGTAGAAATACATCATATAATTAGCAAAGAAAATGTCTAATATTCTGCTTGTCTGACACTCTTTTACTTGTTCACTTTGGTGTCATCATTTTCAACATGCAGCTTTAACTGAGGGAATTTTTAGGAGTGCGTTTACATGTTAAGGTGGGGGAAAAAAATCTGTGTGATCAAAACATTTAAAAGTTGTACCTTATAGTGTGTAGTTTCAAGACAAGGACTTCAAAGAATGTTTGGAGAGATCAAACATACTTGATTGTGAGACTTTAACTGATAATTTTATTTTAAAATTACCCGTCATGTAAGATTGACATTAAAAATAAACCTAAATTTAGAGCTGGGGGAAAACTTCGGCTTGCAATTTGGTTTTCACCAAATTGCATGTTGTTTTTCTTTGGAAACTTTTCTGCAGATTTAATTTAAAACTTTTTCCTGGTTTGTGAGGGTTTTTTTTGTTTTGGGACTTTTTTAAAAATTAAAAATCAAATAGATGCTTTCTATTTGGAAACAGTCCTCATGTCCTGTGGATATTTAAACTTAGAAATTTCTGTGTAATACTCCCTTCCTGCTGTGCCCTGGGCTTGTACCTGGCCTGTGCCTCCTGTGGTGCCCCGTGAGCAGGACCTTCCAGGCTGCCTGTCTCTGACCTTGTGTCTCCGTGCTGTGAACGTGTTGTGTTTTGTGAAATATAATTCAAAAAGACCCTGGTTTACATGGAAAATAAGGTGGCGATATGTACATTACTAGAGCTTTCTTGAAACACTGCAGCAACATTTCCAAATGGAAAACTGCAGTTTTTTTCATTTAAAAAGACTTTTGTTTCAGTTTTTCCATCAAAATTCTAATTCTCATTGTGTACAAGTTCTCATTATGCACAGAAGCAATGCTAACAGAGATTTATTTCCCAGGAAAAAAGGCAAAAGCATCACATATGCAATCCTGATACCAATAATTACCCCCCCAACGTATGCAGTATGGTAACGGGGGTTAAGTATGGCATGAAGGCTCACATGGTGGCCTGGCAAACATGAAGAACAACAGGATTTTGAACATCTAAATTACCCAGCCATTTAGTTAGGGCTTTCTGAACATGCACACTTGAAAAACCAGTTTAACAGCAACAAGTGCTGGTTGAGCACAGTGTCAAACAAGTAAGTCTGGATGGGTGTTGGAAATCCTTCAAGGAAACAAATATTCTCAGCTGATGATACTTCTCTAGGGCATCAGGGATGTGAGGTGTCTTTCAGAGTCACAGGACTGCATTACATTATCCTTTCTTTAATGACTGAGCCATACCAAAGGAAGTCATATTCCCATTTCAGAAAACCTGTAGCATTTACTTCTTTTTGTTGGGTGGTCTTGGGCTAGATTGATTGAGAGAGGAGCTGTCTTTGGTTTGTGCAGTGTCCAGCACAAGGAGTTGCATACCCGTGAGTAAGGCTCACTAAGAGCTGTTGCCATAAGAGCAAAGCAGTATCTGATCCTCTAAAATGACATTTTGGTAAAATACGTGCTCTAAAACCCCCATAAAATTCATACGGAGACAAAATATTTAATGTGACTGGTTGAATTGTTCTGATTACAGGAGTATGATTACAGGAGTCATTAACATAGAGGGAGCGCTTCCCTGGAAATTGGCAATTTTAGAAAGAATCAAAATTGTTTGTTAGGTGAGTTGTTATAGGTACTTGTTTTTCAGTCTGTGTTTTGGGTAGCCACTAGTTTCACCTAAAAGTTAGAGATACTGTGTGTTTGTCATCATTTAGTTGTTTTTATTATGTTCTGCTAAGAACATGGAAGCCCTTTATCTTCTGTTTGTTGCTGTGAAATTGTTTCAAGTGTTACAACTTCACAAGTAGAGACTGTATCAGTGGGTTTTAATTGTGCATATTTATGATTTTGGTGTTTTACAAGATTCTGGAGATTAAGACCCTCAGCTGTCACCGTTCTCTTTGTTTGCTGCTGATGGAAACACTTTAGCAGCAGCAAATAAACTGGGCAAAAGGAATTGCAGCACTAAGATAAAGTTGTTTCTAATCTAAGTGCTTCTCAGTGGGGAATCACAATACGAGGAAAAACCATATCCAAAGAGTCAGTCAATTGTAGCTTTTTTCTAATGTACTGTATTTACAACCTCTGACAATTTGAGCTGAGCACAGCAAAAACCTGGCCTAATTGCAAGGACTGCAAAAATACTTGCACTTTTTTCCCCTGAATAAATAGTTATTTCTTCAGAATGAAGCGCATATCTGCGTTACGAAAGAAAACAATAACAGTGCTGTGTCTGTGCTCATTAAGTGGTTGGAAAAGAATGTACAAGTCCAGATTTTTCTTTGGATCTGCCTAGATTTCACATCACACGCTGGAGCATATTCACTGATGCTTCTAATTCTAAAGGAAATATTGTACGTTTTGATGATATTTTTATTATCACTTTTCACTTCCAAGAATGTCTGTTAAGATTTTGGGTACAGTCCTGTGCGATAGTATGCCAAGAGAAAGCCTTTGTAATTCTGAAGTGCAAGTGTAGAAAATAACACAGGATTTCATAATGTATCCGTAATTCATATCAGCACCAAAGTTTTTATGATTTGAAAGAGATACGCATTACTTCTGTGAGACTGCATATAAATATATGTATTTAGACAACTTTTTTTTTTTTTTTTTTTTTGCAACATTGTTGACTTAATTTGTAAAACACTGTTGTTTTTTCATCTTAGGTCTGAGGGTAACTGTGTTACTAACATCGTCCCTCATGGTATTGGGAGCTGGCCTGAGATGTGTTCCAGTTTCAGACCTAGAAATTAGGAAGAAGTAAGTGAATTAGTTATTTTTAATATACATATTTTATACTTTTTGTTAATGTAGTTTTTGCAGCTACCACAAAGAAATGTTAGCACAAATTTTGTATGAATTTGATATGCCAAATGTTTGTTGTGTAGCTGTGAGCTTACATGCTTCTTTGCTTCTTAAATGGATTTTTCTAGTCCTTCTTCTACATAGTATCTGAAGATCAGAAAGCCCTGTACAAACTTCAGTTAATTAAGCCTCACCCCATCCTGCATAACTAATATTAATCTGTTTTGCAAACAAGGAAGCAGAGAGTTAGGTTCAGAAACTGGCCCAAGATCACACAGGGAACCATGCCACAAAATCCAAAAATATGTAATTTGTATGCAAATGTTAAATAATTAGTTCATGTTTCTCATATTGGATATATGAGATTGTGTAGTGAGACAGATGAATTTAAGCAAAATGGCCTTTTTCATGTAGTCTCTTCCAGTCTGCATTCCGAAGTAGTCTTGTACTTTGTGGTTGAAATGAATGCCTTCTGTACACATGCAATTTAAGAATTTGTGATAGAGACAGATTCCTTCCTAAAAATCACACAATCCAAACAATTCGGTTGTCCCGTCAACGTATCCTGAACCTGGGAATCCTCGGTAAGTACAGGAGTCACGCTTGTTTTGTACAGCCAGGGAATATGGCTCACTTGTTGTTCGCTTACCTTTGTTTTGCTTTTCATGCTGAAGGAGAAAGGACTACAGGCATTACTACATTTTTCTGCTTCTTTAAAAACAGTAGTAGCATTAGATCTTCACTAGTTACGCTTGTGTAATATGTAAACGCTAAGGAAAAAAAAATTATAAAAGGTTTTTATGTCTTTTTTTGCCCTTGAATTGTAGTCAACTTCAAGGCAGTCCTTGTATTATTTCAGCAAATCCCATTTGTTTCCTTAGTATTGCTTGCCCTGGAAATCAACTCAGAAACATTTAAGTTGAGAAAGAAAACGTTTGGTGTGAAGTAGAAGGCAGGTGACTGAATATAATGGATAAAAAAAAAAAAAAAAAGTTCAGAGGACTGAGAATATGATAAGCACGTTGATTGTAAAACTGGCCCCAATCAGGAGTAAGTAGCCAGTGTGTAACGACTGGCTTAATAAACGAAGTGCAGTGTGGTAAGTAAGGGTGCCATTTCAGTTCTTAAGTGCTTAGTGAGGCTATAAGGAAACCCAGGGTGCTCCAGACATTAGTTGCCACCAGCATTGCCTGTTTCAATGTGGTGTTCAAGGACTTTGTGAGCAGGAGAGGCTGAACTAACCATATTGTGCTGCCGTTCACAGGGACCCTTTCTATTTAGGGTAAAAATGCACAATTAAGGAAGAGCTATCCTCGTTGCGCCCTTGTTTTACCTTTTCTCAAGATATTAAGGGATGCTTAACATCTGGTTCATCAGTTCTGACCAATATTGGATTAAATATATACATCTTTTGAATGGGCCAGATGGTTTAAATGCAATGAAATGTGGTGTCTTACATCGCTTTTCATTTATGATTCATGCCAAAAGACTTCTGCTGCCCTAGGTTTTACGAAAGCAAGGATGAAGACTATAAGAACCTAAGAAGAAATGAGATTCAGATATGAGGTATCATATGGGGAGTGGAAAGAAGAGTTTCCATATGCTTTGATCACCTTTAAACAAGTGTTTTCCGGTGTAACTGCAGTTGAGGGGACCTGGGAGAAGGGTGAAATAAATGCTTAAGGAGAAACGTTCAAAGAACAACTTCTTTAACTGGGGAAAGAAAGGCTGTGGACTATATAGAGTCTGAAGAGATGTATAAAATATAATGATACATTTTATTGAAAACCATATAGGAAAAAAAAGCATGAGCAGAATCCTAATACAAAAGGTTACTTATTGCATTTATTCATGCTGTGAAAGAATGCGTCATCTCCAGCTGAAACTGATAAAGTTGCTTACTTAGCCTACTCCAAAAAAGAGAAATTTTCAAGAATTGCAGCTGTACCTGAGGAAGTAGTTTGATTATTTTTTTTTGTTACACAGTTTGATTAAAAATCTACAGAGAATTAATTATAGCTAACTGTGTGAAGCAAAAGCATGGTTTTCAGTGAAGATTTCTTGAGACATTTTAAATACTTGTACACACTGTGCAATGTTCTACCAAGTAACTTGTTTTGAGGGCTGAGACTGAAGGCCAATTTTCATCAATTACTTGAAGCATGATACCAAATAAAATAATATTTTGAGATGAGCTTAATGCTTAATGCATTAGCAACAACTGGCTGAGCACTAAACTATACACTTACTGTATATGTGTATATGCATTAATATGACAGTTTGAACGTTACAGAGCCAGTCAGATGAAGAAGACCACACACAAGCTAATACTGGAGCGTTTTAGAAGCCAGTGTAACCGGAATGTCTTTAAATGCTTTTGCATGTTTTGTAATGTGTTCCTTCAGTCCCTGGGTAATCTGCAGTTATATACTGAAGGATTTCCATGGGACAATTATGTCAGAGTTAAGATACATAAAATTACAAGAATGTTCATGAGGTTTGTCAGGTTTAGGGTTTTTTCTCCTTTGTAGCTGTCTCTGCTCCCTAAGCTCTTGTAATTTAATGTTAAGGAGTGCTAGTAAAGCCCATCGCCTATCAGAGCAATCACAGACGTGAGGAAATCTCTGTTAAGACTGACATTTAATCCTGACTGCTTTATGCTCCTTATCTCACACAGACCTGTAATATCCAAGTGCGTTCTTAAGCTCCTTTCTAGTCTGTAATTATTCTTTTGGCTCTAGCGTGGAACAGCAGACTATCTCCAGCTCTCTGAGTCATGTTTTAAACGTAAACCTTAACCTCTGTTTTCAGTTCATTTGATGCCCATGTATGCATGTGACTTGTATGAGAGAGAATTCAGGTTGCACATTTGAGTGTGTCTCTTGAAGCAGCTGTTCCTTATGGTGAATTTTCATTCTCTGCCAGCATGACCTAAAACCGTACTGGGAATCCATGCCAGAACCACATAAATTCAGTGAAGACTGAAGTAGGATTGCATGGCAAAAACATGGAAGTATGGACTTGTATACAAGACTGAGGAGCCAACCTGTGCGTGGACTAGTAAAATCCCTCTCATGTACACATATGCTCTTACCTGCTTTCCTTCCCAGCCCACTGACATACATACAGACAAGAAGGTTAAAGAGAATTTTTCCTATGTACCACACGCTTCTGGGTTTTTCAGATGTTCCAGATATGTTACAATGAATTTGACTTTTAAAAATAAAACCCCAAACTGTTATTCCTTTCTAAATGTTATGAAAAACCTCATTTGCCACACCTATTTTTTTCAGTTCATAGTTAATGTAAATTATAAAGAACAACAAAAAAAAGACATTATGAAATTGTACCATTCCTGAACTTGTACCTTCCTCCCTTCCCTGAAGGTTGCAAGAGCATCGCTAATGCTTTTTGCCTGCATTTTGTCCAGTCCTTTCTTTTTTGACTACCGCTTTGCACTGAGTGAATATATACTCTTTTAGAATTTGATTATTTTATCCTGAACGCTAACATTATGGAGGAGGCCATTTTTTTTAATAGACAAAATCAGGATTTTTTTTTTTTTTGTCCCCCACATAAAACTTCATATTTATCTCATTCTGTGTTTAGGAATAGATTTACATACAGCTTAGGTCTTACATATGATTGTAAAATAATACATCTAGGCAAAAAGCTCTACGAGCTGAAATGTCTAAGAAAGGAGGAAATAAATGTTGAAATCAGCTAGCCCATAGCCGTAGATCTGTGGCTGTTAAGACTGGCTGTGTGATGTAAGACTTCTTACAATGTTTTGAAAGACAGGATAATTAAAGACATGGAAGTAAAGGATGTAACCTAATTTGTCATTTGTATTGAATATATTAATTAAACCATTTATTAGAACTTAGTATGCTGTAGGCTGGTAGGGTTTGGCCTTCACATTAGACTTCACAACAGAGAAGTAGTTATTGAGGACCTTGAGTCACGGCAGGGACAGGGCGCTCCTTGGCAGTGAGTATCTTTCAGTCATCTGTTGGGAAGGCAGCAAAACAATAACACAGAGAATGACAGTGGAAACAAGAGTGATTATTTACAAAGTCATTTATGAGGGGACACGCCAGTAATTGGTAGTTCCTGTAAAAGGCTTTTTCTTTAATAATACCACTTCTTAGGTTTTTGAAATTTTTTGCCTGCTCTTAGATATATTGATGTTAACTTTTCCTTTTATTATATTTATAGATTTGCTCTTACCACATCTTTGGCACATTTTTTTCTATTAGCTAGTTGCAACCCAGTTTGTTTCAAGTATTTTATTCTTGTTAGGTATATTCTTTAATAGTTTCCCATTTTCCCTTTTTCATCCTTGAAAGCGTAAAGAATGACGTGGGATCATCTCATTGTTTGTATTTCCTGATCCTAAAATGACCGTGAGCCACCATTCTCATGCATGAAAAAGGCAAAGGGACACCTCAGAAAAGGTAATTCAGTAAAGAAAGGACATGTTAGGACTCAGATATTCCATGGCAGTACCAAACACAATTCTGTGCTCGAAAAAAGCACCCCAAACTGGAGCAGCTGGAGAGGAGGCATTACAATGTTCCAGAGAATGAAAAGAGCCTTTTAGGAGAGGGTGGTAGAAGAATATGCCTGTAAAAAATACAGACAGAGAGTGATGCATGTTGTGCTCTCCCTAACGCACTGGGGAAGAGAAATGAAAAAAGTATTTTATCTAAAGCGTGGTTCTGGGAGTAAAAAGATGAATAAATGTACCTGTTTGTATGCTGTAGCTCAGTGAACGTAGGAGGAAGATGTTAAGATGGAGCACTTGCCTGGCGCTGACGGCACTTGCTGGTTTGTGCTTCGGCTGCAGTCCTGGGGGAAGGCTGAGTGCGTTAGTCCATAGTATCAAAAAAGAGGTAAGGGGGGGGAGCGGGGGGGAAGGAAACACGTCATTCATGGGTAGATTCTCGGGGGAA